CTCGTCCTCTGCCGCGAGGACGAGCACGTCTTGCAGTCACGACGTCGTGCGATTTCGCCGCGCGGCTGTGATAAGAGATAGGCGCGAGACGAAACGCGGCCGAAATGACACGTGCTGGGTTCGTGCGATGTTTCGAACGTCGCGACCCTCATGACGGGGGATTACTACGGGCCCAGGAAACTGATGTAACAAGGCGGTATTAAAACTCGAGACTATCATTTTCGTGATCAGCATGCTAAAAACCTGTATATGTAAGGCTTGAGCTTTCTGGGATGAATAATGCGAAAAATCAATAAAGTCAATAAAATCGAGGATATTTTTTGATGGGCTGACATCATTCTCATACCCTCCCCGTAGTTCTGGTCATGTGAACCTGAATTTTCAAAAACAACACCACTCTGCGGAAAATATGAGCTAAAGTCTGTGCCTTACCTCTATCTACGGTATACCTACCGTAGCAAATTCCAATTCGGAGTGGCCCGGGTTCAGATTACATTACAGCAACCTGAACCCGGGCCACTCCGAATTGGAATTCCGCCAAGGTGTCCCCAATCATGTGCCAAAACCCCGTAGAATTCCAACGTATAATAGCAAAGCTAGAGCTTCAGGAATCTTACGACCCACCGGTGGGTCGTACTGTCGTGAATGTGTTGAATTCTAGCTAGCTTAGTTTTCTTGGCGTTTGAAAGAGGTTTTGCAAGCCAGATTACAACAGGAAAGCATACACTGTGGGCAAAATCCTAACGTACCCGCAAAAACAGGAAGTTTCTATCACATGCGTGCCCAAAATTAAGGATGTTCAAAACTTCAAATTGACTGCGCAGGATCCTACACTAGCATGCCCAAAAGAGCCATCATTCTTCGGAAGCGGCGCTCAAACGACTTCGTTTTTAGGTTGTCCCAGTAGAAGGTTTTTCTAAATCAAACTTTTTGTTTTCAAGCAGGACTGAGATACCATATAGCTCCACGTTGATCGTTATAAGAGATACATAGTAGTATCCGTAAATGCATTTGCGGAATTTTTTCGCTTATAGAAATTGAGAAAAAAGCAGAAAGTCGTCAATGATGGCAAACTCCACCCCAGCTCTTCCCACATATGTGAGTTTTTACTGCAAGTCTTGACAAGTTTATTCTTTGAATTGTATCTTTTGCCTCTATAGTAGAGAAACATTGATTTCAACATTAAAAACCCAAAAAATGGATTTTCGCATTTTGGGCTATTTTTGCTTCTAAATTTTAAGGCGCAAAAAAATACCAGCAAAAGATTCATGAACTGCTAAGTAGCTTTATGTGTATTGTATGATGATCAGACTGGAAGTCCGTAGGAACTTTCTGGAAGAAAACCGATATTTAGGGCAATGAAAAATTTTGATTTTTGGCTTTAATGTACACATGGAACACGAGAACACGACCTAGGTGTATCCTTGATGGTCAATAGAGCTTTCTTCACTTTATCGAATGACCCCAAGTCTATTAAAAAAAACGAGAAGATCTTGATTTATTTAGAACAACGGTTTACTTTCGGGACAACCTAATACAACTCAGCAGACTCCCTGTAAGCAAATTTTTTTGAAAACATTTTGAACAGGGCTTGGCACCAGCTGGAACTACGGAGATTTTGAAACCAAACTCCTTCAATTTTGAAGATCACGAGGTCTCCTTTGACCTTTGCACCCACACCTCTCACCACATCAAGTTTTTTTTTACTTGTGCCGTCGCCCATCCCACAATGGAAGGTGTGATTCTTCAAACCATTTTTTGAGTGATTATATAGCAGAAAATTCAGGAATTTTATTATTTCCTACATCAACGTGTTTTGCTCCATGGTCGGAAGCCTGAACCTAGCAATCCAGGACCAATTCCCAGATTTCCCTCCTCTTCCCACCCATCCATCCGCTCCTCTCTGATGAGAATGAACAGAAATTTGTAACAAAAAAACGTAAAATGAATAAAGAATAAAAAAAGCAATATAACCAGGGCCAAAGTGAATTACTTAGAGGCGCGCTTCGCAATCGGAGTGGATTGCGCCGCCAATAAAAATTTTTTCGGTGCTACAAAAAGCTCAAAGGAACGATTAAGAAACGCTTTTCCGCTCGTGTGAAAACTATCAGTGAAGAAACGTCCGCAAAAAGTATCAAAAATTATCTGAGCAAAGGGGCGGTTCCAGCGAACCCAGCTGGAACGCTTCTAGCTATATCGGAAGAAAGTTCAGCACGGCTATCAATCACATAAGTTTTCGTAAGTACTTAGGGCTATAGTTTGAATTTTCTCACGCGCATGCGTACACCAAATCTGGTGTCACACCAACTGGTAATGGCTTGAAACAACGCTTTCATTTGCTTGGGGTAGAGCATGCCGGTTGACTGCCGCAAGCATGCTGGTGGCTTACCTTCGGCATGCTAGGGGCTCTTTTCCGCTAATCCCGCAAGATATCTCCTTTGTTTTTTCTCCCGGAATGGATATCCAGCTTGACTCGGTTCTAGCTTTGAAGATTGATTCAATTGATTCAATTGCAGGTTTTTGAGCCTTTTGTCGTGTTATTTAGGTGCGAAACTCAGATTTTTGACAAGAAGGTTCAAAGTCAGTGGTTCTTTTCATTACAAATCAGCACTTATTCGCACCCAAGAGTTCTTCCCTAATATGATGATGATCTTGAATATTTGACGCTGTTTGACTTACAAAGCTGTGGAAAGAGAAGAGTAGCTTTGACAGATCATACTTTAATGGCGAATACAGGGTGTCCCAAAAAAATGTTTCGAACGTTTGATCGTTAATATCTCTCTTCCCAAGAAGTCTTTTGCCTTGCTTCAGGTACCGTTTTGTAGAGCTGGCTTTAAGTTAGATTTCCATTATAGAAAGAATCACCCATCTCTCTTCATTACTGTAAGATTACGGTAGAAACTTGAAACATATGGTGTCAATGTGGAAAAAGCTGCCGTTCCAAAATTTTTCAAAAAATTGTGAAAACTTGTGTAATAGGGTTTTTATAAACGCTGAGTTCAATACTCAACAATTCACAAGATTACGAAGCTTTCTAAACGGTGTAATCGCACTTTTTAGGAACAATGAAAAAAAGGCCGCTACCTCTCACCTGGCATAACTCTTCAATGAAGCATCGTAATAAGTTGTGAACTTTACAGTTATAATCGGCAATTCTAATTAGCCTGGTGTAAAAGTTTTCAGGCTGTTTTGTTTCCTTTCTGAGGCAAAATATGGCCTTTCATGGTTCAAAACCCTCTTTGAAGTTTCTACCGTAACCCTACAGTAATGAAGAGGGAGATGGGTGATTCGTTCTATAATGGAAATCTAAGTTGAGCCAGCTCTACAAAACGGTACCTGAAGCACAAAAGACTTCTTGGGAAGAGACATATTAACGATCAAACGTTCTAAACATTTTTTTGGGACACCCTGTATATACAGAGTGTCCCAAAAAGATGTGCACATGTTTGATCGTTAATAACTCTCTTGCTTTCATGTCTTTTGCCGAGCTTGAAGTATCATTTTGTAGGGCGAGGATAAACTTAGATTTACAGTATTAAGCAAAACTCCAATTCTCTTTTTGCTACTGTAGGATTACGGTATGACTTTCAGCATACAGAATCACTGTGGGATAAGCCTTTTGATGAAATAATCTCAAAAAATCTAAAAAATTGTGTAGCAAGGTTTGTACTAACGTGCAGTTTTCATATTTAGAACCAGCGACTATGATTAACTTCAAGAGTTTCTGGCTTATTTGGCTTTTTTCTGAGGCAAAATTCAGCTTTCCATTGCTAAAAATCCTCCTCGAAATTCCTACCGTAATTCTACAATAATGAAAAGCGGCTGGTAAGTCCCTCCATACTGTAAATCTAGGTTTATCCTCGCTCTACAGAATGGTACCTCAAGCTCGGCAAAAGACATGAAAGCAAGAAAGTTATTAACAATCAAACAGTGTGCACATCTTTTTGGGACACCCTGTAGACGCCTTTTACACTTGTAAAGACTGAGCCTGTCTTCTTTTCATGTTACTTCAATTTTTCTGAAAACATCTAGATGAGAATTGCACCTAATAACACGAAAAAACCTCAAGTCAGGAATGCGTTGCTCTAGAATTTTGCTTATAAGAAGTTCGTGATTATGCAAGAAGCAGATACAAGAATTGATTATCCTTTGTTAGGCGTCGCTTATGCTGTCATCATTGTAGAAGAAGCAGAACATCTAATTAGGTAAATTTTCACGCTTGCATGCCGTTCTGCTTGATTTAATTATGTTGATATAAAAAACCAATAGGTTTGTATCAATATGCGAGAGCGAGAAATCCACCATAGTTGTCGGAGCTGTAGGAGAGCAGAACACCTTTGAGCTCTTTTACATCCCAAACTAGAAGGAACGCACAGATGTAGCTTTATAGGGGTTTTTTTTTTCGAAGACTATTCTGATTCTTTACAAAATTCATTATTGCCACTTACACAAGTCACTGAATTTTTCTATCTTGTTTTTTTCGCGCAGCAGAATTGATAAACAGCACTTTAACAAACCTCTGCTATCGCATTAACAACATTTTATTGAGTCGACTTTACAAAATTAGGTTTCAGGCCGTGGGCATACTTCACGCGATTTCAGTCGCGACGCGAATTGGGCAAAACTCCAATTGTTTACAACTCTTCTTAAGGGGTTTCTGAATGCATGGAAGATAGGACATTTTATCAACCTACGAAAGTCATACATGCTATGCATTTGGGGTCTGCCAGTATTGTCTGAAGACATATGGCAAATTGCCAGATCGCGTGGCGATTGAAATCGGGTGAGGTATGCCTACGGCCTTTACGAACTTTTGCAGCTTTCCTGGGAACTACTGAAGAGGGACTCCAAGAAGGCTACTCTATCGGTATAGTTCTAAGGCCCGAAACCGGTTGAGTGTAAATTTCTTTTTAATTTGATCTTTCAGAATTCAAATATAAATGTAAGAAATTTGTCTCAGTTCATTTACTCTCTTTCTCCTCTTTGAGGCTTTCTTAGGCTTCCTTGTTCAAGACAAAAACAGGCGAATAACAAAACAATACAAAAGCTTGTGTAATGCAGTTGTAGCTGACGGATACATCCAGCAAAGCTAGAATGTTTACTACCAAGGCCTCTTCTCCACAATGAAGAATGTTTGACGCAAACCGGAGTTCCTCTTGTTCTTCTTGTTTTCTTCTCCAGCCTTATCGTAAAAGAAGTCGCCATTTTCGTCCACGTATTCTTGTATTTCCACTTTACCCAAACATTCACCTGCTGGAGTGCAAGGGTCCGCGAAAGCGTACGCATTGTGAAAGTAGTAGCCAGTAACATTGTAGACTTCCCCGAAGTACAGGCGACGATAATCTAAATGCTCATGAAGCGAGGGACAGCAGATATGGCTATTTGTTATGTCCGTATAAACCTTTCGTAATCTTTATTCGCATCTCTGCATAATGCAGAAATCAAAAACCTAGGCCCAAGCCAATAGCGGAGGGTGGGGGGGGGGAAGGGAACGGGCGTGAGAGGTATCTGCGTAGAGTGCCCCAAGTGTATGACACAGCTTGATTCATATTTCCTTTCAAAAGTATTTTGTCGAACTCTAAATACCTCCATAAAGCTGGCTTTGACTCTAATTTCAACTTCATGGGTGTCACCTATCGCCTTTATTACTGTAGAAGCTATGAGAAGGATTCAAGTTAACGCTAACATGAGCAATATTCTAACTCAAAAAGAAGAAATCAAGCCAAATGTCTTACCCCAAGCTAGGCAGGGTCGCTGAGATTTGAATGTATTGATATTGCCGTATTCCATCATCAATTATGCTAGGTGTACCCTAACATTAATTTTTCAGTGCTCGTCATTACACCTGAAGAACTTGAGGAACGCTTAGAAAGTTGTGTAAATTTTGCATCTGTGAAAATCTTGCTACAAATTTCCAGACTTCTTTGGATTTTTTAGACGGCCTAGTTCCCATTGGCACTGAGTGCTGGAGTCTCCCCCCATAATCCTACAATAATGAGGAAAGATTGATGATTCGCTGCCTAATGTGAAGCTAAATCAGAATTAGCTCTAGCAGAGCGTTTTTTGTAAACTGACAATATACTTGAGGTTGAGGAAAAATACCAGCGATTAAACAGGGTGTACGTATTCCTGGGACACCTCATATTAGAGCCAAGAAATTTTGTGAGAAGTAGATCCACAACGGTGCTTTAGTAGTAAAAAGGGCGACTTATGATATGAAGCTCATACCGCATTTACCTGCTCTGTGGAAGACAGGAACGGAAGTACAGGTTGGTTCTGGTTTGCTGGAGAAAGTTAGCCTAAACAACATCATAAGAATTTAAGCCCTCTTTAAACTGAGAAATTTAAAGAGGGCTTAAATGAGATGCCCGCCAATTCAAAAGTAAACTGTTAAAACTCACTTGAAATTCATACGGTCCCAGTCGTAGGGAATTCTGGAGGATTCGGGCACGAAAAATCGATAGCGCCCTTCTCGTTTATAAGGCATGATTACAGTCACATTTTGCGTACTAGTGCATTTCCCCTTCTTAACATTTTCGCGACGTGGTATCTTCTGGAAACGTACGTCGGTTGTAGTCGTTTCGGTCATGCACGATGAATCAGTGGCTTCACGTGAGAGTACGTATGCTTCCACAGAACCATTTCCTTCCTTGTATAGCCTACAGTAGTTATCGTCCTGAAACAAACCCTTTACCACCTTCTCATTAATATGGAGTCCTCTCAACCGTCTCATCGTGTTCTACAACTGCGCAGTCGCTTTCCTCGTAGCAAGCTCTAAGGCATTGGGCCTTGTTTTCTGCATAATACTGGAAGATAGGTTCCCCTCGAGGAGCTTCGGGATTGAAATAAAAGACGCCAGAATTTGATGTCTGAAGCTCAATGTGAGGAATCGCTTGTTGATTTTTGACAATATTGATGCTCACCATTTTTGCTGTTAACATCACTATGAAAATAGGTGTAATTGACAACATCTTGTCAATGGCTAAGCTTTATTTGAGTGAGTGCAGGTACGGGAGACGCGAAGCTAGGTACTGAGCGCAAAATGTTCTTCAACTGTACCGCCTTTTTCATATTAATCAACATCAGACCCGCATCTTACATCTTAGCAACCGAGCAGCTTTATTCCCCGAACAAAGGCTCAAAATGGCCTTTGTTGTTCACGGAATAAAGCTTTCTAAATCAGCAAGCATAGCAGCCGTTTTATTTCGTGAATTATAACTTTCCTGTTGAAATGGTGAGAGAAAGTAAAACAGTTAGCATCCTTAATCATTTCGAAAAATTCACTATTCAAAATAGAACCATTATTCAAAAGTTGTGTGTATCAAATACCAAAATCTATGCACTCACCACAACATGATTGTATTTCGAGAAGAATTGTTTATTAGCCAACCTGATACTTAACTGGATACTCGAGTCTCACACAGAGTCTTCATTGGTCCGTGTTTTGCTTGCGCCATTCAATTATTTTTGAACAGTGATAGAGAGTTTGCGAAAACACACAGAAGCGCAAAATTTATTTTCAGCTTCTTAGTTCCACATTCATTTCACAGACCGCTCTGCACATCTCGTCGATCTCCGCTTTCGCTACGCATTCCTCTGTTGTGAATTCGGACATTTTTCTTGAACTCGTATTGAGGGATCAAAAATATTGCACATGTCCGCCCGCAGATGGCGTTGAGAAGAACTCCAACCTAGCTGCAATACCAGCAAAACTGTCAGGTCCTGGCTCCGCAAGTATGAGTCGTTGAGCGAATATTGGGCTCAAAAATCCAAATCCGTTAGCGTCATTTACTTTCCTGGAGGTTTTGAAGACGTCTTGTCTCGCACTGAGCGCTTTTCTCAATTTTTCCATGCTCATTCCAATAAAGAGAAAAGTTCAAATAGTGCTCGTGCTCCAGTAACTTTTCCAGACATAGTCGGTCCTGTGCAAAACAAATGCAGTTGCAAAATTCAATCTGACAAAATTCAACCAAATGACTGATCAAATGGGCTGCCATTTTTATGAGTACCTTCTACTTTCTTGAAATGTGAATGTTAGTGCAGTGCAACTTACTTTATCAATTTTGTCAACATGAGTCTAACAGAGTGTTCGAAGTAACTAGCAAATTGGATATGAATGATTATATACCAGTTTTCGTTCCAGTCAGATTTTGTAAACTGAAGACAAACAAAAAATATGCTATGATTGATGCTCCGTAGTAGCATTAATCATAGCATGTCCATGACTTGAATAAAAACAATTGTTTCTGCTTTTTCGAAGAGAACAGAACATTAGAGAAATGAGTAGACGAGACAGATTACATTGAGCTTTACCTTCCGTTAAAAATAAGCTTTAAGGCAGGCGCTATACTCCTCAAGGAGTATAGCATGGCGACGATCGATATGCATCAAATACGTGTAAAACTGGCGATTTTTGTCGCCGATATTGGCGATCGCCAGTCTTAGCGACTGGCGATCGCCCGTCGTAGCGACTGGGGTTCGCCAATATCGGCGACTACACGTTTGATACGTATCGATTTGACGTGTGATAACTTGTTTGGCGATTGGCGATCGTCAGTCGCTACGACAGACGATCGCCAGTCGCTACTACTGGCGATTCCAGTCGCCAGTGTTGGCGACTACACATTAAATGTTTATCGATTGGACGTGTGGTAACTTGTTAGCGATCGATACGCATGGAAGATACAGTCGCCAGTATTGGCGACTGGCGATCGCCCGTCGTAGCGACTGGCGATCGCCCGTCGCCATGCTATACTCCTCGAGGAGTATAGCGCCTGCCTAAGGCATAAGGCATACCTCCACCGATCCCGTCGTGAAGATTTCGATCGCTGCGACTAGACTGCCTGGGCGACCGTTCACTGCGGGAGATTCGCTCATCGCTTGATTCCTAGACATACCCAAAGCGATTTTGTAGACGCTCACACACCACTCCGTACACGCATTTTTGGAAAAATTGCACTTGTTCGTCCGAACTGCATATATTCAAGGAGATTCGAACAGAAGGTGGCGCCATATGCTTTCAGACAACATTGAATCAAACGAGGAAGGATATGGACTCGCACTCATTCTAGCATTTATAGGGGCCTGCAGGATCTCGAGAGTCGGACGTGCGTACGGCCATTTCGCCGCGCACGTCCGATGTCACTAAGGCAGGTGCCAGACTTATCTGCTTCAGCCGGTTCGTTCGGTTCATGGGTCAAATTACTACACTGTCCGACAGCAAAGGTGGTGAACCTGTTCAACAGAATAAGTCTGGCACCTACCTGAGTCGTCGGACGCACATCTGACGTGCGCAGCGCAATGGCCGTACGCACGTCCGACTCTCGCAGTCCTGCAGGCCCCTATACCAACGTTCTACCAGCGCAAGTTAACGTCTGCAACGAAATCGACTACTAGATCATAAAGTTTTGAGTTCACTCTAATTAATGGCAGGCATATGTTAGCTTCGTAACAACGCCTCGAGGCGCGTGCGTTGCGGACTCGGAACATATGTCCGAGTTGGTATTCGCGACGTTAAATTGCGGAAGGTATGCCTCAGGCCAAAAGACACCCACACAGATAAGAACTCTATGTTTTTATTATTTAGAGAAGGTTGCACACATACACATACAGAAATAAAACGCAAATTACATATAACTCCCCACAAAAATTTTGTGACTACACAGCTTGCTTCCCCTTTAAGCATTCATAAAAACCTTACGATTGAAACAAACGCTTGCATCTGACAAAGACAGTAGAAAAATCGCCTGCTGAGGTTTTCAAAAATTTCGGATAAGCGTACCTTTTGTGATTTATTCCAAAACTTCAATAAGTTGATGTGGTTTCATGGAAAAAAGAAGAATTCCTCAGCTCGAAAACTTCTCCAATTCAGTAGTCTGCCCACAATCCAATGATGTATTCTCACTCCAATTCAGTAGTCTGCCCACAATCCAATGATGTATTCTTTCTCAACTTCTTGGAATTCAAACAAAAAAAATAATCAGGACAATGCCGGTTTTGTCAATGCAATCGCGTCGTCAAGGAGAATTATTGGTAAGCATTCAACAAACCAATGTCATTAAGTTTTCCTAGAAACATTCTTAAAAAGTGACTTTCGTCTGCGAGAATACGCTGTAACGATAGCTGGGCCACTTCCTTTACCGCTGCCTTTTGGAAAATGCTAATACATCATTGGTCTGCTGCAGACCGGATCTGAAAAGGTTCCTGAAAGCAAAGAAGGGATTTGTTGTACCAATCTCACACACAAATTCTTGAATAATCTGCAAAATCTTTATGGGTACCGAACCAAGTAACTACGTGTGAGCTGGTGATTTTATGAAAATATACTGACTGCTATTTTGAAGCATCACCGTCGTATACTTTCTAGTAAGAAGAGGTTTTTTTCAATAATCTATATATACATCCTTTGTTGTTGGGTGTTATTTGCGAGATTTACGTGTAATTTTGAAGGATGGGTGTAGTTTATGTTAAAGGCGGCGTCCAGGCAGATCCGAGCTCGACGACCACTCCCACTTCCCTCGGACGGCCAACCCCTTATGAGCGAAATCTCCTCAGCCTTGACGTGTTTTCACATGACCAACACAGTCGAACTTACCGTTTACCTGTTAACACTTGCTTTCGACAAGGATAACATCAGAAGCACTCGTCCGGGTTTTCCCAAGATAGCCCCAAAAGGTGGTTTTCTGAGAAATTCATTTTTGAATTCCATATTCGGAATCAGCGCCATGGAGAGATCTGGATAACATAAAAGCATAGAAGTCGAGAATCTGCTTGGACGCTGCCTTTAACTAACTTAAATTGTGCTCAAGTTGTGTTTGTAAAAACACGTTTTTGGCATATTGACCCTACAGTAAGACTAAAAACAAGGAAAAATGGTAATATTGAAAGATTATGAGCCCTTTGATATCTTTGCCTTCATGATACAAATTGATGGCGTATGAAGTACTGAAACATGATTAAGAGGTCTTGCAGCCTATTGCTGATTCAGAAAGATCCAAAGCTTTCTGCATGAAAGGACAAGTTTGATAAAACATAGTTTCAAGAAATGATGAACTTTCTTACTTATGGGTTCTTGCCACAAAAGAGTTTAAAATTATTTTGGCTATTACAACTTGAAAGAAAATTCAAGAAAGTTTTGCATCGCTCCACCAGTCTCACACTCTCATCGGAATTCTTGAAAATCACAAGATTTCAGAGGATATCGAAAACTCAATATTGATTAACTTGCAACCAACTTCTTTTACCAAATGTGACATGATTCTTGGAAAAGGCACGAGTAGAACCTTGCTATATAAAATTGTCCCGATTTCATCATCGTCTATGATTTCTACACTACCATTCTATGTTCCAACTTTGTATTTTTTTACAATAAAAATGCGTTGATAAAATTTGGGGAGCACCCACATTTCGAGTAGTACATGGCAGGAAGCTACATTAGAGAAGATGAGCATAGGATTTGGAAGTAGGTGGGTGTGAAATGAAATAGTTTATTTCCATGATGGAGTCAAAAGCGATGCTCATGTTATGAGTTGCTTACAAAGCACATGTTGGAGCGCACAAAGGACTTCGCAGAATATTGAAAACTTTTTGAAGTGTAATTTGAAGAATTCTTGAAGGTTCAAGTCACTCGCGACTATCAAAACACAGTACAAATAAGGATCAAAATGCTCAAGATTATTTCTAAGCATGCGCTATAAACTCGCACTCAATAGTTGATAGTCTTTACCACAATCCCTCAACCTCTACGACTTCCCGTCACTCCCTCCCCCCCCCCCCCTTTCTACACTCGTGGTGCCAAAACAAAAAACCATCCTGTTTGTGACTCATTTTGCACTTTCACGCGTAGGACCTGCAAAAACTTCCCGCTTTCACTGGTACGTAGCACAAGACAGTGAGAGTTTTGCACCACGTCTCTGACGTCTGTCGATTGCACAACGTTGAATAACAAAGGCGATATTGAATGTTTTACACTATATAAGACTTCGTGAATGTCCTTTTCAGCACAGCCTTGAAAAATGCATTTATTTATGCTTTTCATAACATCCTTTTGGTGAATTATGACAATTTTTTGCTCCTTTGTTAATTTAATCCGAGTCTTTCTCACTTACATGTTTTGCAATTACGTTCATGACATTTTCTTTAAATTTGATGCATTCATCCTCTGATATTATACAGAATAGAATGTAAGCTACGATTATGTACAAACTGACTGAGATTTTGTGACTAGAAAGAAAGGCATTTTTTCGCAGTTTGTAAAATTAAACTTTACTGGATTGAAATCATAAAAGAAGCCATCAAAGCGAAATAAAGGCTCAAATAGAAGCTAAAATAAATTTTTGAAGTCTTCTTAATAGATGTTTCGTCTTGACGTGCTCATTTTGAATTGCGAATGGACATTTTTGAGCCTTTACAAATCTCGAATCATTCAGCCCTAGAAAGTGCATAGATCTTCCTTCAGTTTATTACCAAAAATTAAACACCTTGTGTAATTCTTTTCTGTCATATTCTGAACTACAAAACACCAAAGAAAGTGTACTACATTCAAGAGAAAGTTTATGGAGTTAGCAAGACTTAGTCGCCCTGATCATTTACACTCTCGTTCACTACTGATTTATTATTATTTGCCTTTTTCAGATTCGTTGAATAATCATGTCGCGTTCCGACACCGAAGAGTATAACCTCCTGTAAGTAAACGTTGCAATAACTTTCGCTCAAAGAATTTTACATCTTAAACCACAGGACTCAGAAGGGGAGTTCCCCTAACTACGCGAAACAAAAGAGGCCTTATAAACATATCCGCAATGAACTTTATATCACTAAGACGTTGTATGACCCAATGGATACGATCAGCAAGGTAGCCTCTAGTTGAAATTATATAATTCATTATTTTTGCATTTCCAGAATCGCCGAAGGAAAATCTTGGCAGATAGGTCGGACGGGTTTTGCTTAAATGTCCCATATTCTATGAATAAAAAGGAGAGATGGGAGAAAGTAAGCGCTCTGCATTGATGACACAACTTTATTTGAAAATTATAGATTGATGGTACCACCGTTCTTAAAAATCGACAACAGCCCGCAGCGGATGCTCTCGAAACCCTCGTAGTGAATAGAGTGGATGTGCCCTTTTCTGGTAATTCTTTTCTGGATTTCTAAATTAGATGCTTTTTCTTGCATACTCCTACAGACGACGGTCACGGTAATACGGTCAAAAGCATCAAACTGATCCAGAATGATGGCATATCTACATTGGCCAGTGGAGGGAGAAGGAAGACGGTACGTTCGATATTATTTCAAAGTTGTCAGTAAATAGATCGCTACCTGAAGAGCCATCATTGAACGTATCCATCTTTTTTTGGACTTGCAGCTCAGCCAATTCAATAATCAAATCAGGGATCTAAGGCATATGGACAAAAAAGAAGTGGATCCAGCAAAACTCCTGTTCAATTTTTGTACCGCTAATCAATATCATGCACAGCAAACGAAAAGAAAGTCGAAACAAAGTTGGTCAAGTTTTGGAACTTTTACTAGCATACTTTGCAAATATTTAGAAAAGCGGCGGAGAGCTTTCCAAAAGAGTTCTTGGAGCGATTACGGTGTTTACGAGGAGCTAGAAAGTCTTGGTAAGATTTACATAGCTTTGTTCTATCTTTCTATGTCTCGAATATCATCCTTTTTCTCCAATGAAGAACTAAACACATGTATCAATACTTAGATGTTGGTACCGCAATCCCAATAGGTCAGATGAGCATGCAATTTTCTGAACAAAAAAATCAATAACTCGCTTCGTTCCAATTGCACTCTATTTCAACGAGATTGGCGGCTGGAAGGGCTCCGCTCAGGCCCGCGACGCAGTCTGCGCTTCTCTTGGGAAAGTGTTTTCCTACCATTCTCTAGTCTCAATCAGGTCATAAAGCCCACTTCAGCCGCCAATCCAGTCGAATTAAAGGACACATGTGTCTCCTTATGAAAGTCCAATCTAAGTCAGTCTTCAGCCTTTTCTGCCGAGTGAACTTCTCAAGTAGGGAAAAGAACCATTAGTAGTGTTTGCTGGAGACATCATTTGCTAATTTTTTTGTTGATTATCACTTCAGGTCGTTGATATTCATATTACTAAAACTGTGAAAGTTGTGCGAAAAATCGCTATCAATTTGTTCAGTCTCTGCGATGAAGAATCTGGTCAGATGTAATAAAAGAATGTTTAGGGAAAAATAAGTGACTAAACACTTTCTTATCGAAAATTTCTGAAAAATTTGGTCAAAGCTCTTTCACTAGCGATTCTTGTTTTGTTTCTGCCACTTCTCTGGTTCTACACTTTTTCACGTTCGTAGTGTTATTATGCATCATAGTGGCGCTTAAATAACCTTTTTTGTATATTACGCTTTTCATATCATAAAGATTATGATGTAAATTACTAATCCACCCATTGCCTAATTTCGTTATCGCTTGTAGGGGTTACGGTAGGTTTACGGCATGGGGGGTAAATTCTCAAATTGTTTTGAATCATGCTGAAATTTGGTCTAGGGGTTATTCGACATGTTGATTACAAAAATGATGCCCATTTCGCATGAAAAGGCTCTTTCATAAGGTTAAAGTATGGTTTTCATTCAAAAGCCATTCATTATCTTAGCAATAAGAAAAGTGTGATGTTCTTGTTTGGCATGTCCCACCATCTCCCTCTGAAAAGCCTTGGCAAAATCTGAGGCTTCACAGCTTGGTTCTTAACGATTGTCCCTCAAAAATTTGTTCCGACTTGCTCAATTTCTCAAGGGCTCCAGATCTCAATTTGTCTCCAAATTCATTTTTTTCGTTGCTAATTTTGTTAAGTCGGTCTCTAGCAGCATGCTAACTCAATTCCGTTTGATGTGTTTGGTTCAGGTTGTGCTCTGCTTCATCTGCTCAAAACCGTAAGACCTCGATCTTTTTTAATTTTTGGATTTATCTGTAATGAAAAATCAAACGTGCGCAGTCTTGTAGCTTGCAATCTGTATTATGCTTTAAATGAGAGTACCACTTCCAACGAGAGAGAAGTTGAATTGCAAAACTTGTTTGCCACCTTACATCATTCATGTGCTTTATCACTGCGCCAATTCAGACTGTGAAGTATATGCAAGTGAAGAAGAGCATTCTGTTAACGAACGTGATTCCCTTTCCTTCGATAACAAATATAGTGAATCTTCACTTGGGAGTTTTAGGTGAGTTCGGTATCGGTTCTTTTTGTTTGTAGCATGTAGCGAAGAGGACACTTACTCCAAACATCAAGTAAGCGATACAGAAGACGATAAGAGTGCGCTTTGTTAGAGGACTCGAAGTGTGGTTATTATGGTGCTTTGTTCTGGGCTTTGATACCTTGCCTGCGCGGTAAATTTTGACAGAGCTCGACACGAGCTAAAATTATCGAGCTTTGTGACAAAGTCCCCTTTCTCCCCTTTTGATGCTATCAAGAGTTCACGAGGTCCAATCTGACGTTTCAAAGCCTTCTCATTACTTTTACTTCCTTTCAATGTCTTTGTTACCGCTCAACCATGAAACGGTGAAAGAGAGAGAAATCACTTTTACGCCATTCATTACATAGAAATAATCTACGCTGCATGCGCCAAGCCCCAAACTTACTTTCAAATGCTGGAGAGAAGCTTCAGCAGTCCATATCCCAGTTTAATTTTGAGGAAGAAGATCTTGCAAGCAAAATCAATTTTATTGACAGGTGCCAAAAACCATCGACCAAAAAAAGATAAGCAAAACTAGTTAACGGTTGTGAAATAGATCAGATGTACCAAACAATTGCTCCTCTATTGTTTTAGTGATCTTGGTCTTGACGAATATTTAACATTAGCAAAGCAAGAAGCAGTTCAACCTAATGAAATCTGCGCACAATCCCTCTGCAAAGCAAAAGACACGAGCGTTCCTTCACAAAAGGTTTGTAAATTTTTTTCGCAAGCGAAGCAACAACGTGAAGACTTTGCTTTCAACTTACAGGCGTCTACTACATTAGATTCTAAAGACAATCCCGCTGGAACCATTTTTGAAGTAATTGAGAATCCACTGAAACACTTTAAACCTTTCAGCATAGAAGAAAATGTAAGTTTCATAACTTTAGAGTGTTTCACTAAAACTGAGTAATCCAGATTTTGCCGTTCATACGAAAGGAGCTTCTCAAGAAATGGTTGGACCCCAAAAGGCTTTTTGTTTGTAGCCTTGAACTCTCACATCCAAAGTTTGTGATATTTTTCGAGGAAGATAGCAGCCAGGATTTACTAAGGTAAGGTTTTATTCACTCAACTAATAAATAGGAAGATTTATGAGGATTTTTTGCACATTTGATTTAGGGTAAGAGTTAGCACAGACACACCGTATACACCAGCAGCAAGCAGAAGCCGTCTAATAGACATTGTGAAAACAAAAAGGAGGAGGAACCTTTGTTCACTTTTTAAGGACTTGTACGATTTTATCGCTGAGACAAAGCTGGAGTAAATATCAATTCAAGCTAGCCATGCATGTCTAGGCATTCTTGTTTTTAGGTGGAAAGTTGAGATTTACAATAATTATGATTGGAATTGTCGGCTTATCACATATCCGGAAGGCTATCGATGCCGCGTTAACAGCAAAACGATAGCGCCCATTGTAAGATATTTTCTGTTTTTTAATGCATATGGAATGAACTTGGGAAATTTTTATATCAACATATCTAGGCTGCGAGCAGTTTTGAGTTTGAGCAAATCAACCTACTTAAGAAGTTCTATGATCAAATAAACACAAAATCGGATCATTCAATTACAGATTGTAACTCGGTAAATCTGAGGTTCATTTTCGTGTACCAATTCAAAGTAGTTCTTGTTCAGGTTACCGTTCTGAGATGCTGCTGCTACCGAAGGGAAGGTAAAAGTGATCTCTTTTATCTCTCGAAAAGAATGATGTGCCGCCAATGTGTGTCTACTTCGATCATTAATCAGCTCAATAGGAAAAAGTTTCCCGTTGAAATTCCGGTATATACAACCAGTCGAATTACATCATATAATTTTGAGTTTTCAGAAATTTGCTCCTTCTTCTCCTTGTCAACTGGAAGTTCTATATGCGATTTTGCCTATACCCACGGTCGCTTCACTGCTGAAAGTAAGTTCAAACGCATGTGCTTTTCAGAAAATATGTTTTTACCTATTTTGCATTGACAAGGTTGTAATTGATGAGGGATCATGTTCAAGATTTCCGCTTCCGGTGTCGTCCTTCAACCCCCCTCTCCGTTTTTTTCTATTGTACCGTATATCTACTTCTTCTGCAACGAATCAAGGTTTGAAAAGCTGGGTCATTTTGCACAATCAGCAACTTCGGCGAGAGTCTTTAAGCTGCAATCCATAACGATTTTTTATGTACCGTCCATTCGTTGACTGTACGGACTGAACATAACGGCGGAGCACGCGCCGCGAGGTAAAACGCTTGCTCCGATACAAACTCGCCATTGTTAAAATCGTGCCCTCGCAACATTTTAACCGCGCCGCGCGTGGTCCGTAGCGTTTGAACAGTCCGTACGGCCAACGAATCGACGATACTTCATTTCCAATGGGCTGCGATCAACACTATTCTGCATTCTTCAAGCTTTTATAAGTGGTCTTTAAGTTGGTGGGAGCATACTAATAGGCGGAGCCAGTTCATTTTTCTTCTGGAAAGCGTTTTGGAGTTTTCCTCCGCATTTGGACGATTGCTGCAACGCTAGTTCATGTCTTTTTCTATCTATATCACTGACATGGTTATCTTTCACTGTCCAAACTCATTAAAGCTTGTTTGAGTTGTAACATTTTTAGGTGGTCTGGAAATTACGATTCCCAGATTAGAGAACTTGCGATGGGTCAAAAACTTGCGCTTTCTTGGCAATCTGCTTCATGAGTTGAATTGAGGAGCCATTACTAACACGCTTGCCATTAATGTAGTGTCGATGACTGCTCCGTATCACCTCAACACAGTCCAAAATGGACAAATTCTTTAGACTATTGAATCAACAGTTCCGGTACATAAAGCTTACATGACAAACCCCGCACAGTGGCTGGCTTTCCTTTCTGAACACCCAGGTAAACTTATCTGATGGTACGGTTTGAACCAAATGTTACAGAAAGGAAAGCTTCAAAAAGATCCTTGTCCACGCAACGTCAGCGCATCCTACAGCTCCAAAGCGTCCCGTAATCCATAACATGTACAAAACCGCTGCTGTAGTCTGTAGGGGCGAGAAACGATTAGAGTCACTACCACTAGCACGCACAATGGCTCGCAGCAATGAATACGCAGTCATGGAAAGACCATCTAGATGCCTAAGCGAATCTATGCAAAGCAACAATAACAAAATTTCTCTTTGCATACCTTTTGTATCCAATAGAATTAGTGAGGCCATTAAACGATGCATAGCACGAGCGCAGTTACGGAACAAAGTAATGCCGGTCAACATTCCTAGCAATACTGTCAGAAAACGGTTGATTAGAAATAGACTGTATGATACAGATTATATCTGAAAGCTGCATCGTTTGCCCATACGGGAACTTAGGTGACTGTGCAAAGGAGGGTATTGTTTACCAACTAGAATGCCTAGTCTCTCCTATACAAGTTGTGGAACAACTTGTATAGGAGAGACCGGAAGGATGCTAAGTTTTAGAATGAAGGAGCATCGGGCCAGCAAAAAGCGGGTAATGACATCACCATTGGGAAGGCTTAGAGTCGAGACACATAAAGGTGTCGATTTTGATGTAAAATGCACGATATTAGCGTATGAGACCGAAACTTCGGCAAGAAAGACATTAAAGGCAGCATGCATATCCCCCGGAAATCCGAGGATGAATAAAAAAAATTGAATGTTTGACAATGACCAGTGACCCTTCTGCCCTTCACATTATTATGTCATCTACAATCGCAGACTGTATATATAGCTTTGACTCACTGAGCATCCCTCAGTGATGTCTGTCACAGTCGTGCGGACTACTAACTCCACGGTGGACTGAAGGTTGGTGACTCTTACTTCAGATTATTTTCTAGTACGATGTACTTAGACAAGGTCTAAACGCCGCAAGTCAGAGAAGGCGTTTGATCGTATAGACTGACGAATACAAAAGTGCAACCCCTTTCAGGCCTCCGAAGAAGACAATACTTGTCGAAACGTTAGGCAGTAAATGTCCACCATAAAAACCTCTCTGGCACAAAATCAAAATCACAATGTCCAAATTTGCTTTTTAATGACGATACTTTACCCATCATATTGTCTTTTCAATAAAAGACTTACTTCACGGCAGAAATAGTCTCATTTTCAGGAATCGTTAGCCTTTCAAGCTAGACCTCGATTTGAGATGCGATTTATTATTTGCCCTAATTGTATAAAGCCACATGAGTTTTGCCCAATGCCTCTTGCTACTACCGAAAGCTGTGGTATGATTTATATTACCTCATTTTGCTCATGGGTAATCAGTAAGTGTTTTTTCAGTGTTCAATAGTTGCTCATGCTCAAAGTGTCACTATGCTTTTTGCTATCTTTGCGAATGGGAGCCACACTGGCCCATGAGCTGCGAGCAATTTGAGCGATGGTCTTCAAAATGGGACACTCAGCGTGAGTAAAATTTCCTACGCTGGAATGTGAGGTATTTGACAACATAAAAATTGAGATGTTTACGAGGATTACCATATAGATGGTGAACAAGTGCGACTATGCTGTGTTTGCGAAGAGATCTACACTGTAGGAATTACACATCGCTTGCATAAACTTGCTGTCACCCTTGACATTCGTAATTTAGGTGCCAAAAAGGGCGATAGGTAGAAGCTGTCCCAGGGACTGTTATAAACATCAGTGGAGGCCACCATTCGCGCAGTTGCATGACCACACCTCTGATACTGATTATAATTGGTCTTCTTTATCCATAAGATCGTATAAGCATCTAAATGCTCTGGGTATAAAAATAGAAAACTGCAAAATTTGTGTAGGTTTTCTCCTCTTCTATGTGGCTAAGATTAACAAAATTATGAGGTTTTTAAGGGTCATGAAATCTTGCCAGAGTCAATTGAGATTAAACCAGTTATGAATAGAAAGGTTGCCGAGGTGAGTGGGTTTTGTATTTTTATTTTTAGCCAAGAACACAACTATCTAGATATGCGCTTATGCGAGGAGGCAGAGATTTTTGCAAAACAGCGACTTCGAGAAATTTGTTACATTTTCCGTCACGAAAAACAAGGAGAAGTTCAAGGATCTGAGGAAAACGGTGCCTTTTTAGTTCAAAAATAGCTTAGTTCTAAAAACGACTTTTTAGGTACTTTATCTGATTGAATTTTGTACTGGATGGGTCTATGTAGCTAAACCCTCTAACTGGAGGCATTTAAATCTGGAAATATCAAACCTCAATAACAGTCTCCAGTTTATCGAACAGCAACTTCCTTTGCCAAGGTGATTATTGTGCACGTATGTCTCTATCAACGACCCAGAACCTTGGTTTTAGAGACGATTTTGTTAAGCGAATGGGTGAACTCGAAAAGGAGACTGAAAAACTTATCAAACTCGTTCGAAAAAGTTTGAACCAAAGACAGGTTTGAAATTATGCGCTTTTAAAGTTCAAAAGATGCCCAAATTGTACTGCAATTTTTCATATCTTATACTTAGTTATAAAAATTAGCAAGTAAACCTCATGCTCTTGTTCTTGACAAAAACGTAACTACTTTTAGGGACAATCTTGATGCTGTTTTCCAAGGACAAGTTGCTATGCAAGTCAAAATTCGAAGAACAAATCTACCTTTAGTGGTTCTTCAGTAAGCCGCGGAACTATTTTATAAATTACGGGTGATAGTAAAAGTGGAAATTTTGAGAAGCTTACTATGGTTTGCTAGCTGTAGTGAGTACACATTGCAGTTGAAAATACTGCAGCAAACAGATGTGATTAGTTACAGTGGTCGTTGGGTTTTTTACAGTCACTCCTATCAGGAACAATCTGCAAATTCTATTGTTGTTATGTCACTTCATCCTAGTATGTAGTGTATGTATGTATAGGCGCCGTAAAACCTGATTGCCCGCGCCGTGCCCTCAACACCAGCGTAAGCGAGCGATCGTCGCGAACGACTGTCGGCGTTCACTATATTCCAAGAAATCTTTCTTTAACTTTTATGTTGTTCTCGTCAATGCAAGGTATATCTTGACAAAAGCTCCCTTCAAAAGCTTAAAAATATGTGTGGGAAGGGTGCGCGCTCATTGTCGCTCGCAAAAGGTCTGTAGCGCTTCGGGACAAACGTTCCCAGCCGCGCCGCGCGTTGGTGTTCAAAGCGACGCGTGGGCAATTGGATTTTACGGGGCCTGTATGTATGTATGTATGCATATGTATGTATTTTCCCCTCAAGAGGAAGAACGAAATGGAGATAGGCAAATCGAGTTTTTTTATTGACAAAGTTTGTTTTACTGTACTCACCCTCTATTTCATTCCGTCAGAAAGGTGAAAATTCAGCAGCGTCTAACTTATACTTCTTAGGATATTTACATCTGTATTGTAATCATTATAAATTGTTTTGAATTGATTGTTCACTTGTGTGATTTGAAGGGCTTGCACGAATCCTGTGATTTTGAGTCAATTAGTATAATTAATGTGATAATGCAGTTAAGAAGTAATTAATCATTAGGCTTTACTTCCTGTCTAAATTAGTTCTAGAAAATCTTGTGAAATTGAGCTTATTTAGTTGCCACACGGGCTTCGTTAGTGCTACCTCAACTTGGGACGAGGTAGCACTAACCTAATAAACGCTTATTCAAAATCGAAACAATAGTTATTCGACGCAGATTTATGAGAGTGATCCAAGACTTGTCAATTCTCAAAGTGCTTCTCAAAATACTGTTAGGAATCAGCAAAATATTAGCGTTTTTCCACTCTTGTTACAGGACAACTTTCCATCAAACTCTTTTCTTTAGAAAAGACTTACATTATTGAAAATCTCTTTTCATACTCCATTCTATGATGATTGGAAAGGGTTTTTAATTTCTTTCATTTACAGAGCCTAAACATGAGCATTTCTATTCTCGTCATGATTGCGCAATGACGGCGTTTTTTAAAAACTACAGCTACTCTCTGAAAACTGTCTACATTACGCAAACTTTACCATTTTTCTCGCGATAATAACCAGACTGGTATACCTGCCGTTAACAAGGGTAATCATTTTAATCGTCCTATGGCCCTTTTTTTGAAGAAGTCGATTAAAGCTTTGCTCATTACTGTGAGCTTTAGGGTAGGCCTCCTGTCGAAATTTTTCGCAAAGCGTTTAGCTGTTCAGTACGCAACAAAGATCTTGCCATTTCAGAATGTGCTTGAGTCAAAGTTTTTTGAAGAAGGCAACGATGTAAGTTTTCTAAAAAAATACCCTCGATTTTTGCTTGCTGGAATCGCTAAAACGTCTATAAAATCTGAATTCATTTTTGGTTCTTGGTCTTATGACCTACGCCTTTGTCTAAGATTAGGTTGATAATGATCGGATGTCTCTAGAAATAGAGATAAATTTCGTATATTTAGTTTGACTTATTGATTCTTCATATTGATTTTCTGAAATGTACTATAAACAGCACTCTGATATATACGTAACAAAAAGCATGTTGTGTAAATTAATTAGTTTGCTTAAGCTTTTTAAAAATATTCTCTTTCATTTTTGAAGCAATTGTGCAACAATCTTATACAATTGCAGATTATGAATTTATTGATGTAGCAATAACTGCAACCTTTTAAAGCTATCGCAAACACTCCCTTTGAATTTATGTTCCAGCAGAAAAACTGCAGAAATAGTATGATGTTATTGTACTTCATATTCATAAAATGCTCAACTTAGTATCTTTCACAGTACATCACGTGGTTAATAAAAAGATCAAACTGAGGAAATGGGGGCAAACGTTACTTACTTAGACGTGGTTCTTGATCGAAAATTGTTTCTTTTCTCTCATGTGTTCTGGCTATGCCAGAATGAACCAGTGATAGTACAGATCACTTGAAATTACCAAGAAATTTGATGCTTCGGTTTAGTCTTTTCACCCACGATCTTCTTCCCAGGAATGATGCTTTGATGAGTCATCTTGTATTAGGTTGTCTGGAAATTAATGCAGGTTTTGAATTCCAACCGCCATAAGTCATACACTTCCCATTTCTAAATAGATTGCAATATACCATTCGATAGAGCAAAGCAATCCCTACAAGGTGGCAATCTTGCTTTAGCAACAGCTCTGATCCACCACGAATTTCGAACCAAAAACTAAAAAGATCCAAATGCTCGAAAAATTGAGAAAAATCGTAACTCACTTCATAAAAATCCTACAAAAATTTTAACTCGCTCACCTAAATACAATCCACATAAGGCATCTATATACGCTGTTGCGTATTTTTTCCCTGTTGAAAATAAGAAAACGGAAATTTTCGCGCATTTGCCAAAGTGATGCTGTGCCGCTCTCACATAAGCAGTTGTATACTACAAACCTGTAGAAGTACAGACGTAAATTTGCAGCTCTCTACAAACTTTAGTTCTCGAGAAATATGAATTAGCATGGACCACATGACTAGGGAAAACTGTATTCGATATTTCTCAAGAACTAAAGCTTGTAGAGAGCTGGAAATTTACGTTTGTACTTCTACAGGTTTGTAGTATACAACTGCTCATGTGAGAACGGCACAACACCACTTTGACAAATGCGCGAAAATTTCCGTTTTCTTGATTCTCAACAGGGAAAAAATACGGCAACAGCGTATATAGATGCCTTATGTGGATTGCATTTACGTGAGCGAGTTAGAATTTTTGTAGGATTTTTATGAAGTGAGTTACGATTTTTCTCAATTTTTCGGGCAGTTGGATCTTTTTAGTCTTTGGCTCGAAACTCGTGGTGGATCAGAGCTTTGCTGAACTAAGATAGCCATCTTGTAGAGCTTGCTTTGCTCTATCGAATGGTATATTGCAATCTATTTAGAAATGAGAAGTGTATGACTTATGGCGGTTGGAACTTCAAAACCTGCATTAATTTCCGGACAACCTAATGCTTTAGGAGTGAAAATCGCAGGAACCTGTAGCGAAACGTCGCACAAGACAACGAGATCCTTGCTCTGTGTCTCTGACGCTATTACATAATGTTGCACAACGAATGCGCTTTTTAGTATTCCAATATATAATAAACGCGTTGTTGTTTCTTCTTCAGAAGCGCAAAGAAATGCTGCAATCTTTACTTTCCTCATCGCCAATTTACGCAAATTATGCAGTTTCTCGACTATCCTTCTTCTATTTCAAAATTAGCATATCCTTCTTTACTCATATTTTTTTCTTGATTCCCAATTTTAGGCACAGCTTTTATGTCCTACTCCGACGCTGAAGAGTATAAATTTCTGTGAGTAATTACACTCTTTCAGAGTAGCACTCTTCTATAGCCATGTTCATTTCAGTAATAGGTCTCAAAAAGGGCACTCTCTGAATTATGCAAAACAGAAACCGAGCAAGAAGCATGCGCGAAACGATTTTTATATCACTAAGACATTATATGATCCAATGAATACTGTCAGCAAGGTAGTCTTTGAATCAACATTTAGTTTGTCACTACTCATGTTTTTCCAGAAACACCGAACGAAAATACTTGCAGACAAGTTGGATGGGTTTTCTTTCAACGTTCCATACTCCATGAATAAGAAAGAAAGTGGGAGAAGGTAAGCGCTTTCTTCAAAGAACCCAGTTTTTCAAATTCTATAATTTCACAGATAGACCGTATCGCTCTTCTTAAAATTACAGCCGCCAGATGATGCTTTAGAGACCATCGTAGTAAACAGGGTGGATGTTCCATCTTTTGGTAATCTCTATCTGACTCTGAATTAGAGTTCGACTCTTCTCGATCTTTTTACAGATGACAGTCACGGCAATACAGTCAAAAGCATCAACTTAATTCAGAATGATGTATTGCCACATTGGGCTGTGCGGGGAGACCACATACGGT